ATAGTCAGTGCAAAAATTGACACACGTTTTTAATCATTATCCTTTGTTATCCCTAAAGTATTAAAGTTTTGAGATAAAAGATTTAATGACTCAGCTTGTTATTACTAATAATATTAATTAATTAATTAATTAACATTAGATTCTAGTGACAATAGTAAAAGAATTGTTGAATGACTAATTTAGTCTCTGCTATAAATTTATTATCTTCTTTTTATTTATTTTTATTTCATTCTTACTTTATTTCTTAATATTTTGAAATAATAAACTTTTCTTGTTGAATAATGATATTGTGGAGTATCATTTTGGCTAATTAACAATTATGGCTCAACTTTTGGGTTACCTTTGTCAGTTAATAACTCACAATAACCAGATAGCTGAATATGGCCCTTTTGTAATGCTATTAAGTTCTTTTTATTCACTTGTGATTGATTTGTTTTAGTCGTTTGCTGACAGATTGCAAACTCGATTTGATTTACTTGCAAAACAACTTAAGTAGCTTGTTCAACAGCTTTACGTTTACGACTACTTCATTAACACCTACTAGTTAACCAACGTTAGTCCTAACCTTGCTTGCTTCCTCACTAAAGTAAATAAACATGGCTTGTTACCAAAGTTCCACCAACTACACTTGTTGCTTTTATCAAAGCGCTTTAAACAAAGAAAATAAAACAACGTTTTTATTTTTATTTTATTTTTAAAAGTTCATTGACAATTATTTTTATTTAATAAAAATAACGATTATATCACGGTTTATTTTATTAGAATGTATTATTTTCCTCTGAGAGGACTCGAAGTTATGCGAATACCAGAAGTTATCCTTAATGAAATTTTTATTGATCGCTACAATAAGGATAAAGATAAAGCTGTGTTTATTATTGCAAGTAGCTTAATTAATCAATATTGATATTATAAAAACTTCCATAATTATTTACACAGTAATAATTATAAAAGGCTTTTGCGTAAATTTCATTTGATACACTAAATTAGTTGACCCTGGAACATAAAGTGCCGAATCCCTAATCGATGATTTTACAATGTATCACGTTATTAATATAAAGAATGTTCGAGTTTAGTAGTGAATGAGTGTGTGGGAACTGAATTTGTATTCAGCAAAACTTGGCTCCTTGTGAACAATTAATGAAACAAGATACACAAGAAAATTGAAAAGAAAACCTTGAAATATATACAATATTTATATAGTTTTTTTTTGTGAGCTTTTATATTTTATAGCGATTTTACTTACGTTATTTTGACATGGCAGCGAATTTGACGTTACAAATGTGGTAACATTTCGTCAAACAACATTAGTTCGGTGCATCAAAATTAGCACTGCATCATATCATGTATTCATGATAAATGGTGTAATTTTTAATAAAATAGATTATTTCATGGCCAGATGGTGTATTGATCGAGTAGTCCATATGCGCTGATTTTGTTTGAACCCCAAAATCCAGTACAGTGTGATCATAACGTTATGAATACTTTATGCTAGCAAAAACTCATTGGTTTTGATGTGGGGGCCATTTGGTTTGACGGACTATCGAATAGTAAAATAGTTTTTTTTAGCGGAGCAAATAAATTTTTGGGGGTTAATTATCATTCTATTGACCAGTTTACACATCATGTTTAACGTATTTAACGTCGAGACACAATAAGATATAAGGTTTGAGAAAAGGATCCAAAAAACCAAATCGGCTGATATGATTTGATCTAATAAAATCTACTTGAATCTATTAAAACAAATAAACAAAAGACAAATTTGTTATTTATCAAGAAAAGAAATAAAGAACTTTAAAGTATATAAATATGATTGATTTTGGACTGAGATTGATGTATCAAAAAAAAAAATTTTTGCAACATTAAAAATCATTTACATTATACATTTAATAATATTATTTTGAATAATTCTTTAAAAACAATGCTGTTTAAATTGGCTACTACTACTTGTGTGATAGATCCAATCATTAACACCAAAGGAACAAAATTAAGGTTTTCGCAATAAAAGCTGTTTTGTTTGTTTGTTTGTTGTTGTTTTTGATTTTAATATTAATGCAGAAAGCAAGCGAGTAAAAAACATTCAAGAGGCGAATCGGTTTGTTTTTTATTCATTTATTTATTTATACATCCCAAATCAAAGGTCAATTTGATCGATTAAATGTTTTTTTCAAACCTACATCACCATAGAAGAATAAGCTTTGCAAATTTGATTGTTAAAAAAAAAAGATCTTTTGTCTTGATCTTTTCCTCGTGTTTATCCCAACTAAAAGTCAATTTGATCGATAGATGTTTTTTTCAAGTCTACATCACCATAAAAGAATGAATTTCAATTGTAAAAAAATCAACTAAGCTTTTTTTTTCTTAATTAAAAGAAAAAAAGATCCTTCGAAAAGAAGAACCCTCGTGTGAATCAAAAGCCATTTGCGAATTTCGATTGTTAAAATCTTTCATCCTGATCTTTTCCTCGTGTTTTTTTTTTCATCTATCGCTATAGAAGAATAAGCTTCATGCAAACGTCAAAAGTCATTTACAAATTTCGATTGTTTTAAAATAAATCAACTAAACTTTTTTTTCTTAATCAATCAACGTATTTTATTCGTTTTTCCCGAAAGGAAATTTTTTCATTAATCAACAATTTTATTGTTTTCTCCAAAAGAAAATCAACTATCCTTCAAATGGTCAAAATCAAAGTTGTTTCTTATTCGGATCACCCACTATCTCTCTCAAATGGTCATTATCCAAAAAAAAATTTTAATTCAACACGAACAATCAAAAAAAATTTGCACATATTGTTTGTTTATCGATCAATTTTTTTTAAATTGACAACGAAATAAAACATTTTTGAACCCCGGTCTCCTGACCAGAAAATATCAACGATCCGAGGTAAAGGTTCCAAGACAAGACCATCAGTTTTTGGTCATTTTGAACGGTCCGAAATGTCGGAGCAAGACGAAGACCTAACGGTCGAAACCATGCAAAAAACATCTAAAGCGAAACACGATTTCCTTTCAGTCAAATATCTGTATCAAAAAAAAAGTCTACTAGTAAACCAGGAATTTTCAATGATATGATTACACTAAAGTCTGAAAATCATATGATCAAATTAACAATAAGTCATGCCATTAGTCAAAGCACAAAGTTAAGTTTGTATGAATGGCAAAATGGAGGACACAATAAATATAACAAAATCAATACCAAAAATGTTAGCATTGACTGGAAGATTAAATTTGTAAGTTAACAATCAATTTAGTCCTTGTGCATTTTTCATTACAAATGTTTTGTAAATAATATGTGTTTTGATACTTTTAGAAATCGAACTCAAGTAACAAAATTTGAGTGGAGGATTGTTTGAATTACGCATGAATGTAAATTTAATATCTAATGTGTTAGGTATGTGAATAGCATAATTTTCTTTTTGGTTTTCAATTCCAATTTAATAATCTAAATAATTAATAATTTATTTTGATTTTATTTTATTTTTAATAGATACCCCAGAAATATTTGGTCTGAACCACTTTTACAACCATTATACAATGCTATTAGAAGTAAAAATAAAGAAATTATATTATTATTATTTATAAAATAAATAACTTAATAACTTGGAACTAAAATGTTTATTATTTTAATTAGCTTACCTTGAAATCTCACAACGTGTCAAAGTTCTTAATGATAGATGCAATGTCATTAATGATTTGCTTGATATGTTGCATGCATGAAGATATTGTAATTCAAACATGATACAGATTACATGGATTATTATTTGGCTGATTGTTGTAGCTGTGTTTGTTGCAATGGTAAGTTACTACTACCAATCTTTTCAAAAACATATAACATTTAATAGTTATTATTTTAATATTTTTCTTTAATCATTTCAATAGGGAGAAATTGCTGTTAAATTGTTTCTTTGAATGGGCGATTTTTTTGTAAAATCATTTATTCTCTCAAAAATAAAATAAGGTCAAATAAAATTTTTGTTATTATTTTATATATACAGCAGTAGTGTTTTTGTTTGTGTTGGTGTTGGTGGATGGATAGATAATAATTTGATTCAAATAATTTGTTTTGTAAAAAGGAATGTGTGGCTACAAATTAGTATTTTTTTATATTGTGTTTAAAGAAAATTATTATTTTTACATTGTCACTAACATCATCACATTACTGTGTTTTTACATTTAAGATACTGTTAATTGACATGGGTCCATCTATTGTACATGACGCAATATGTCACAGATAGATAAATATCATACCAGAAATGTAAAGGTCCATTTTTTTTATAATTGCCAAAGTAATTCTATAAAATTGAGTTTTCAATAAAATTTAGGATAAAAATATAACTTTATGATGGATTAAAGGTTTCTGGTTCATAAATTAGTTTGGAGCTCAAGAATCCGAACTGCACAACAAAAGTCTTGGATAGGGGACTTTTTTGTGATAATTACAATACAAACTATTTTGGTTGACATATAAGAACTAATTCGATTCCTTTTGGTCTTCCATCAGGCAAATACATTAGTTGTATTGTTCCATTTGGCATTATCCTATCTTTAAAGTTCAGATTCCGAGATTAGTCCTTTTTGCAATTAGGGCATCTTTTGAATAGGGAGTTTGGCTAATTTAGGTAAATTGGAAAATTCTTTACAAACTTTTAATTTTAATGAAATCGTGTAATGTAAAACCAAATGCCTATATTTACGCATCTTTAATTAAAGGCTATAGAGAAAGGGACAGCAAAAAAATTTATGTTAGAAAGTGGTATTAAAACCAAATAATAATAATATTGTATCAAATGTATTATTAAACCTATCTTTTGATGTGTTCAGGATGGATTGGAAAAGCACTATTGAATGAGGGTCATTAAATAATTGTGCTAAGCATCAAAAAAGGTTTTTTAAAAAAGCTATAACAATTTTATTCTTACGCTAACCATCTTTTTCATTTTCATCATCTGCCAATTCATTATTACTTATGATATCAAAATTTTTAGTATTTAAATCAAGAAACTTTCTTCTGTCTTTTTCAAATTGATCAATATTGCTTTTAATATTTTTTACAAAATGTTCATTTGATGAACTAAATGGTGAAACAAGCGTCCATACATCATTGGCAGGTGATGATGAATGTTGAAGCATTGTTGTTGTCATGTATCTAACGACTTTTTTTGAGGAATCAATTGCTTCATTTGTATCTTGTAATTTATGTTTTTTCGTATAGTATTCATTTGATATTTGATTAAGTTGATTTAAAATATTATTATTACCATCTAATTCCTCCTTTTATAAATAAATAAATATATATTAATGAATTAAATTATAATAATAATAATAACAATAATAACAATGATTACCATTATTTCAGTATTAAATTCTGTTCTAATATCATCTAAAGTATCGTGTATGCTATTACTTTTTTCCCCAAATCAAAAAAAAAAAATACTTAAGTTTCAACACAACAATAAATAAACAAAGTTTTGTAATCATCTACATCTACAAAATACTAACTCTTTTCTTTTTTCCTTTACAATTTTTCCATAATCATTACATGGATCAACAACAGCAACATATTCAAATAATTGCTCTTTTTTCATTCTTTCATATATATATTCGGCATCATATAATTCATGTTTTACACAATATTTATAAAGTTCAAATATTGATCTCCACATATCTATAATATATATATATATATATATATATATATATACACACATTTATACAAATTTTTTTTTAAATTAAAAACCATTCTGGTTAAGAAAAATATAAATATAAATGTAAAGTAATAAAAAAATACCCTCACATACGTAAACTAAGACGGATTCTTACTTTTTCAAAATTATCAGGTTGAGTAAAATAAAGTAAATATAAGGTGTAAAGTACAGCTAGTTTCACTTCAAGCAAACTTGTCTGTAACAAAAACCCTAATTGGAATAAGAAGCAATAAAATCAATAAAAATCAATCTAATCAACTTAATTAATCAAATAAAATTATACATACTTAAAGTAATTTGATATAAAACTTGCATAAAAAAAGAACGACCTGATTTTTCAGGGCAAGCAAAATGTATATATGTAAATTTATATTCGTTCCATAGATTCTTAAAAGTTGTGAAATCGTGATGTTGTTTCTTTTTGTAAAGAAGATATATATAAATATTTCTTCTAATTAAATACAACAATAATAATAACACCACAATGATGATAATAAAAATTACTCTTTGATATGCAAGCAAGATCATTCGAATATCTTTTTCTAAAGCAGACCTTGAAATAAAGTTGTTTCCAATTAAAATCCCATCTTTTATAGGAGGACCAGTGTTTGGACTCATTTTCTTAAAAATCTTTAGTAATGGTAATCATTATTAATTGGAAAATAATCTGTGATTTTAATTTGATTTAATGAATTCTAATATACGTACATAATAATCCAATTGATCGATCAGATAAGATAAAAGTAGTTAATACTAAAAAAGATAACCACACATGGGATGTAACAGTGTAAGATAAAAATAGACGAGAAAGATAACCAACAATTAATAGTATATGGGTTCTCCGAAATTTTGCAGTAGTGTACCAAATGCTGTTTAAATTGTGAAATCGATTCAATCATTAACACCAAAGAAACAAATTTAATTATTTCGCGATAAAAGTATTATTCACGCGATCATCAAGGTAATAGTAAGTAATAATATATTATTAATAATAATTCTTATTAATATTATAACATTGATTAATATTTCTTTTCTTCCAAATGGGATTTACTATTAGTTACGCAGTAAGTAACAATATATTATTATTATCAATAATAAAATTTATTATATATATATAACATTATATTAATATTTCTTTCTTCAAAAATGGGATCATAGTTAAACATAAATCTAAATATCTAAATCCATTTGATTAGAATCTGCAAATATAATAATTTATACATAAAAAAATAATATTAATGTTGAAATTGATATTTAATTTTAAAACTAATAAATAAATAATGATAATTACCATTCAAATTCATTTGATTAAAATCTATAAATATGATTAATTTAATTAATATTGATATTGATATTGAATTTAAATCAATAATCAAATAATTACCATTATTAATACTATCTAAATCAATTTGATTAGATTCTATAAAATGATTATTATTAATGCTGATATTGAATTTTAAGATTAATAATCAAATAATTGATAATTACCATCATTGTTGCTAATAATTGTAACTTTATTGGAGTTTACAGGTTGAGGAAGATTTGCAAAATTCAATAATCTACTTGTATAAATAGCATTTGGATGAACAGTTTCTGTAATTGTTGAAGGATTAAAGGGTTTTTTATCTGCTTCTTGAATATTTTTCTCATCTTTCTTAATTCATCATGCTGTTCATCAGAATATTCATACCAATTTGATTTATATTTATCAATAGCATCTTTCCAAAAACCAATAATTCCTAAAATTTCATTTGATGTTGGTCTTTTTTCAGGATCAGCATCTGTACATCTATATGTTAACTTAATATAACATTCTGGAGTATCATATGAAAAACTAGGCCTTAAGCCACTACAGATCCTACAAGCAAGATCTAGATCATGTGGTTGATCTTTGAATGGTTGTT